GCTGCTTATGTACATCTATATATGTATAAATCAGGAATTAAGCCCTGGATGGGAACACAAGTGCACATACGCAGCCTATAGGTCACGGCATAGATACATGTAGCTATTCATGTACTTAAACCCTGCTCCGCTTCGATGATGTATTTGTCTGCTATACAGTTTCTTCCTCATCTATAAATCATATTGAAGAGTTTCTTAATATATTGTCCTGGTTATTCAAGTACCTAAGGATATACATTTTATTTACAAGCCTCTATGACCTACTCCAAGAAATAAATTGTGTTATCGTTGTCGTTATTATTTTTTATCATTTGTGCCAATGTCAGGGTCAACTTCTTCATTCATTTCATTCCAAATGCGTTTTGATGTTTCATAGTAACTTTTCACGCACTTTTGTAGCAAATACACNGATTGTCCTTTTTTTTTTTTTTTTTTTTTTTTTTTTTTTTGCAACAAATAGAATTTGAATGTTTAAGACTAGGCAAAAGTGAACAATACGTTATAATTACTCTCAGTAAAAGAAAAATTTAAAAAAATAAAAACATGCCTATTACTGATATCAATAATGTCGCCATTTTTTACCTTTAATACCCGTCATACTCACCAACACTTCTCGACCTTTTGCCTTTCTGTATGTGACTCTAACAGTTAAATATATTTCGCACAGAGGGTGCTCGTACGCACGAATTACAGTTATTCCGCCCCTTTTGCATTACGATGTAAATATATTTGTAACAGTTTAATTCGACTTCCTTTCCTCTAATATAAATCTTTGATCAAAGCTGAACTTTGCATTTTAGCAAACGAAAATATATGGAGAAAAGAACAATGTACATTAGGCAATTAATGTTCACCATAAATCCTTGCGAAGAAGCGGTGTTTTAACTAATGGGTGTGTTTTCACTGAGTCAACGCCTATTCTGTATAATTGGAAGATATGATATATAGGAGCAATCACTATGAATATCCTCTGTCTATGGATATTTTAATATTATCCTTTGATGTGAGATTATCCTACTATTTATATTTAAATGCGGTACATAGGCATGTGAGTCACTGTATTGGATTTCTTGTCTAGTGTAATGCACCAGCACATACAAGTGCACATCACCTATAAGCACTTATAATTAGGAATTTAAAAAATGACTCAAAAAAAAAAAAGGTAATACAATTATATCTTTCCCCAAATAATTTTATATATTATGTGTTGGCGGTAGTCTCCCAAGCTAAAAAGCCTTTTTCACTAGCTGTCCACAGATATTTCTCTGGCTTTTCACTAGCTGTAACAGTTTCTGTACTATGAGACATTTTCCTGAAAACTGACGTCATCACCTAGTTCGTTCTTGCTATTTAAAGGTCCAAATTATTGGTGCAAATCTTTGCATTGAGACATATTTTTTTACATAATGCTCTTTGTTAACCTCATATTTCCATTTCTTCAAGATTTTACGTCCAGTTCGGTCTTTTATAGCATTTTAAAGCGTTGCTTAGTTAATGTTTCAAACGAGAAGCATATTCTCGCTATATTCTGATTCCAAAATCGCCTCCTGTACATTTCCCTCGGAGACAATTTAATAATTCTCTATTTAATAATAAATCTTGCTGACAAACAGGAGTCAATGGGGCCTAACAATTATCTTGAACGTTGTGCACATAAAGTATGCCATAACTACAGGGCCTGCACCTGCAATGAACCTTATTAGCATAAATTGTAACCCGTTTTCTTTTTGAGCCAAGGTACTTCAGTTTAGTTAGCAATCATCATCATCAAAACACTGCGTTTCTTATGCGAGTAAAGCGTAATTTTTATGTCCTAACAAACAAACTTAGTCACGTGATATTGCATTATCATCGAATTCATTATTTGTAGTTTCCGTCTATTTCCTTATCAATGCATAGTTTATTCTTATCCTTTTATTATTTATTAATTTGTAAATAGAATGTATCAAAATGTATTATGTGCAAGAAAAACCAAAAAGGGCCTTCTGTTCTGTTTTCAAATCTCAAGGCGTGACTCGCATTGATTGAGGAGATATTTAAAGCTGAATTCAGATACCATGCCGTCATTTAAACTTTTTCTACACAAGTAAATAACATCAATGACGATCATTTCTTTTTCATTAAACATGGAACATATATATTTTTTTATTAATTTTTTTTCATTGAGGGTTAAATTATATTTTGTACATCTTCTAAATGAAATCCGACTCTTTTGTTGAAAAAAAAGGATATTTAAAAACTCACTTCAGCAATTCAAAGATCCTATACTCCACAACGTCATTTCAATCTTATAATTTAAAATTATTTTGAATCAATAATAATTAAGATGGTATCAAATATTTACTTACAGATTTGTGTCCTTGCTTTGTACCGGCCGAGGTGACGCTGAACTCTAATTTTGTCCTGACTGAAAAATGATAGTCATAATATAGCGGCAGATGGTTGAAGGGTTCTCGAAGACAACCCTATAAATTATTAAACATTTGTGGTGAGGCGCGTCAAAAGTACACGCAGATTGTGACTTCCCAGCAATAGCTTTGTGACATTGGCCATGGACGCTGGAGCATTTTTTAAAAACTTTTATTGGCTTTCTTTGTATTTTACGATACAAGTTTATGGCAATTGCTATTATTAGTATATCTCTAAGTGATATTTCGCTTTCATTCTTTCCTAAATTCCATTATCGTGGCATTTATACCATGAGTAATATCAACTGTCTTTAGAGAGTTTTTAATTGTGTAAAATCAAATTGAAGATAAATAGTTACAGCTGGGGAATTGCTACCAATGCCTGCCATGGTCAAAGTAAACATGTCATTAAACAGGTTGATCTGAAATATTTTAAATACGTGTAAAAGGCCATGAAGGAAGCCTAATTATTTAATGACTGGTAATGGTAATTGACATGGTTGAAGACTGTTAGGGTGCTTTTTTACATTCAAGCTAACTTCCTGGTTTTACTGAACGCCATGCATATAAAACGCCATGCATATAAACATTTTAAGGTCAAAATGTAAAAAAAAAAAAAAAAAAAGAAGAAAAAAAAGATTGGGATTCATTTTTGCGACAGTTGATGCCGAATTTTCATAATTTGCAAAAAGTATCATTTCTGATATATTATTTTGAATAAATGGAAAAGGTCACATCGACATTGCAATTTAAATGCAAAGATCAAAGACAAGGTCAAAATTTTCTAAAGTGAGCAATTTGCCTACAATAGGTTGCAACATTTCTTCGAATATTTTTTATGTACCAGTCACAATTCTTCCAATATCTTCTGACTGATTTATTGCGAAATAATCTACAATAACAATTCAGACACCCGGGCTGAATGACGCAGAGGACAATAAAAGATCGTGCAGTCTTTGGTTAATTAAATGTCTCACTTTAAAAGCAACGAATCCATGGCAATGAAAGAAAACGCGGTGTTTGCTTGATTTGATGACGATAAGGCCGACCCAGCTTCAGTCACGTCGAGAGAGTGAGAGAAAGACAGAGAGAGAGGACGGAAATGGTGCAATGCACACCGTGTCTTCCCGTGAACTCAAGGAGACGCTGCATCGCACTTGTCCCTGGTTGATTTATACTGACAATGTCGACCTGACTTAAGGTGACACTCAAGAGAGCTTCCACGCCAGAGGGAGGGTTGGACTCCTCCCAAACTTGAGGAAATCGACTTGGGACCACTGTGAGTCGAGGACGCCTAGAATGTATAATTAATCGACTGAACGCAGCCATACAATTACAGTTCATTTAATCGCACTTGGGAGTTGGATTTGACCAAAAAAATTGACTCTGCTGGCTAGCCGCAAAGGAGATCGTCCTCGCCCTTGTGGTCGCCGAAGGTTGAGTTAAGCAGAGATATGCGCATTAGGGGTTATATCGTATAATTCCGTGGTAGGTTAGAAGCCCCTGTGTTGTTTATGGTAATTTTGTCACATGAAATATTGCTAACTGGTTCACGCCGTATTACAGTCTGTTGTCGTGTTACACAGTCAGTGAATTTTGTATCATCTTTATTTATAACGTTCATGTAAGTTATCACAGTTATTCGTGTAATGGTCGGATAATGTATTTGGGGTCAACATCCGCAAGTGTACAAATCGTTAAAATAAAACAAGAGACGCCCTAAGAAAGTTATCATTTTCTTTCAGATATATCATGCGGTTTTAAAATATGCTTCATGCATTTTTGTCGCTATTCAAGCGCCTTTTGCACCGGGCTTGTGACCGACGAATTTGTGCCCGTTCTCAGCCCCCTTCAGAGTTGAGGTTTGCCAATATTTGTTACTCAACTTCCAATCTATACACCAGTGTTAATGAACTTAAAATATTGCAGCCTTTTCTGTTGTTAAGTATTTTTGGGTGAGGGCGCATAGTCGGTCTCCCAGCGGCCGCGCGTTTGATATAAAAGGAGATATTTAAATCATAACGTCTTAGGGCTCATTCGCAATGAAACTATCGGTGTTACTGGCGGTGATCCAACTCCGTGGGGAATCTTGCTGAATACAGCCAGTTGAATAGATTGAAATGCCTCCTCCTAGCGTTGAGTAGAATACAGAAAACCTGGCGATTATACGAGTACGTTTGAAAATAGAAGAGGCATTTGTTAATCTGATTGCATTCGCATAATTTGTTAATCTGATTGTATTCGTCAATGCGGATTTGACACGATCTACGTAGAAAGATAGTTGCATTGGGAATGGGCCCTTATTTACCCACGTGACCCCATCTGACTACTAAGTCTATCATAATATTTGGCAGTTATACGGTGTCCTTACAATACAACACATGCTGTAAATCACCCTCGAATTTTGGCAAACGAAACATGATTTACATTTGAAATTAGTGCGGTGACAGATTCACTGTCCTCCCAAGTACTTCCTGACCACTCGTACGTAAATGAAACGAATGTCCACTTAGGAAACTGACCGCGCGAGACGCACGTGGGTGTCAGGGTCACTTTATTTCATCTTTGAGTTCGTGTGCGTGTGCGTGTGTGTGTGTGTGTGTGTGTGTGTTGCGTGCTTGCAGGTGCAGGAGCGTGACCTAGGTGCGCGTGTCGCAGTACCACGTAAGGATATGACATTTTGTGCGAGTGCGCGTCACTGTGGTCAGGGTTATGATGCACGTGTGAGAGTATGCGGTTCTGTGCGCACGTGGGCTCGTGCATGTATGTTATGTTTTTGGGTTTGTTTGTATGGAGTGTGTGAGTGCATGTCTATGTTTCGGATCGTAAATGCTCGCGTGTGTGTGTGTGTGTGTGTGTGTGTGTGTGTGTGTGTGCGTGTGTGTGTGTGTGTGTGTGTGTGCGCTTGTCCCTTTGTGTTTGAGAGAGAGAGAAAGCATGCAAACATGTTTGTACATGCAAGCGTGCGTGGGTGCGTGAGTTACGTATCAATAAACATATCCTCTTGCTATGGGTGCACGTGCGGACTTCTGCACGTGTACCCGTCCTTGTGAATAGCCTATTTCAAAATCAGCTTTTATTGTTCCTTTTAGAGGTTAATTGATGTAAACATATGGACGAACATTAATTTATCGTACCCTCGTGGTCCTAGCCTGGCTACCTTAATGTTAAATGCTTTGGGGAGGGACTCAAAACAAAACATTTCCGTGTCCTTTATTTTGGATACGGGGCTATTTTAAAGTCGCCATTGTTTGTGTGTATTTATTTTTATCGACTGACGAAACTGTCGACTTATTTGGTGATCTTATATCTAGACAAAAGCAATAGTCTTAGAATTATTTCTAAGACCATATGATTATTTCATGTCCATGTTTCAAAAGAGGCCATTTTTAGCAGCCCAAACAAATGAACTATAAATTATGAACAAATGCATTATAACAAATTAAGTTGTTTATTAATTTTGTCAAAAATCCAGCGCCAAATATAAGACCCAAAATTCGACACAATCAGTCACCTAGAATTCAATTCACTTCATTATACATGTATTTATACTGTAGTATATTGAAGTGGCAAAAAGTTTGATAAAAAATGTGAAAGAAAAATATTACGGTATGATCCAAGCATTTTGCTCTCAGCTACATTTTTCGGTGATTTTCAAAAAGTTTTGTGATGTCTTTTTTTTTTAAATACGCCACAACAAAATATGTTAATAAAAATACATTTTTTCTTTTGAAAACACATTTGAAATGCACAAAAGTCACGAGCTTTTTAATAATTTCACGTTTGGTTGTTTTTAGTCATAAATCAGGTTATAATGGATATTTCACGTGTGACCAAACAAAGAACATTTATAAATAGACATATCACATTAAAAGTCACTTTTGAAACGCACAAAAAATGATAAACAAGTTTTCTTGTGGTTTTGATAGATGTCTTCATTCATATTTCAGAACGTAAAGAAGAAAAGATACGAGATAAACTCCTGATATCATTTGTAGGGTACAAAATGTGACATGCGGTTTATTTTCACGATGGTATGAAAAAATAGTAAAATAGCTCAACTGAAAATAATATATAGAATATGGAATTTTTTACATGATTAAGTAATTAAATGGACCGTTTTCACACTTTGTTGCCTTCGCCAAGGTCGTTATGTTTTGGGGTCTGTCTATCTGTTGGCAATACCACGCAAAAAAAAAAAAAAAAAAAAAAAAAAAAAAAATTGTAAACAGATTTAGATGAATATTTTTTTTAATGTCGGGAAGCCGTTAGATTCCTACTAAAAATTAATTCCCAAAATGACAAAATATTACAACAGAAAATAGTTAATAATTGACGCATGTATGAACTAGCCATTTATTTTAAATATTTTAAAGCTTTACATTGTGTATATAATAATATGTATATTTTCTCTCCAAACTCTTTCAAAGAGTAACTCTATGTCAAATTGTATTTTCACTGATTGAAAAATGTAAATTTAAAAAGGTGAAACGTTAATGAACATTTCTCTCTATGAAACGCTTAATTAACAATTGATTGGCCTTGTTTTCTATCCTATGCTTTAAATAAATATAATATCATGTACATAAAAAGAAGCAACCCGAAAGAGGCACACAGTTCGTTACTGGTCCCTCTCAAGTACTTCTCATAATGTCCAACATTGGATACATCTCCTATGCTGTTAATATTTTTAAGCTCGTGATTAGATGTGCTTTCTACAGCGTTCAACAGACGGAACAAAAACTCGTTCGCTGCGCCATCTTTCGTTGTGTCTGAAGCGCCATCTATCATTGCGGTGAGGTTATACTCAGGAAGAGTTTCCAATGTGGAATCGCCTTCCACCGAGCCTGCGGTAAGGAAGGCCATTAGACTGCTCTTAGAACAGTACGATTTTAACCAAAAGCCTACCGTGTCTTTATAAGCCACGGTCCTTTTAGAAGACTGGTCGTAAAGGTAGGAACGCTGCCCCCTGAAAACCCAGGCGTAGCGTGTATTCCACTGAAAGGCTGCGTCTCCCGCATTGGAAAACTTTTGATCTGCGGCGGCTGCGGAGGTTTTTTGTATCCAGTAATTTTCACCTGGAAAAAACAAACAAAAGAAGACGGTGTGATACTCAATGTAATATTTACAAAGGGGCTTGCAGATTTAAAAAATGACAATTCTTAAAACATTAGACCAATCTGTTTATGCATGAAGTCTTTGTGAAGGCGAAAAGCGCTGACGTTTCTTAAACGGTCCCTTATTGTTGCACTAATATCTATGATAAAAAATAATCAAAATAGCCCAGACGTTTTACACAAATCACTCTACTGCGAATATCTAATATACAGTTCCACAATTTAAACTCATTACATCTTGTTGAATATTCCCGGACTATATTTACTTCATTAGTTTTGTTACCTTTCACAAGAACAAGCGGGTTTCCTACGTTGGTACTTCTAAATACCGCTGTGACGTCAGACTGGAATGACGCAGGCACGCCACCACTGAACATTGTGACGTAAGGGCGGGGAAACCCCAGCTGTAACGTACGTCGACCGCCATATAACGTGTAGAAATACATGAGGTTTCCCTGAAGCAGTGTAAAGTAAAAACCGTTAGATAGAAAAAACACGAGCCAAGGGGGTTTAACTTCAACGCTTTAGTTCCATCAGTTGGTGCATTCGTTGAAGATCGCTCCTAACCTCGCAACTTCAGAACGACTGCGTTTCAGATAAATTTACGACTGAGTGAAGTAAAACAATTCCTTACTGATAATTAAAAAAAGAAGAAAAACCTTTACTGGACCATAAACAAGTGCATAGGCAATTCTCACCTTGAAAAAGAGCACAAAGCACATGCTAGCTATCACACAAAACTCCGTAGCGGCATTTATATTGGCGGGAAGTCCTGGCCACTTGTTGGCGATTAGTTCTGGATCATGAACATATTTATCTGGGTACTGGTAGCGGGATATTACCCAGGTATACTTACCTGAAAGTAGAGATGATGCTACATAATTTGGGTGAGTGGTTCAAGATGAATGATGTGAGGTAGGAAGAGGGGTTAACCTAGATGATTTCTATACGGACCATGTCGGGCGGGGATCGGGGGGTGGGGGTGGGGGGAGTCGAAGGAATCTACATTTAGGCCAGAATAGGTCTTGCCTGAATTTTAAAAAAATTATGTGGATTCTATGGCATTTTTCAAGATGGTCAAACATTGGGATAGAAAAGATAACTTTTTCAATTGCTGGCTACAGGCTTGTCTTAATAAGTATCGTGTTTATGAACATTTTCATCCTGGTTCTAATTTTTTTTTTTTTTTTTTTTTTTTTTTGCCGGGTTGTGGTTAAGTCTGTTAAGGCGTGCTAGTCTATATCCCACCGTGCTAAACGTACCCTTAAACAAATGAAGTTCGCCACGCAATGAGAAAGCAGCATCTATCCTAGCATCTCTACATATATCTGGCGGGCCCAATCTGGAACCGCGTGTCCCCATTGCTTTAGCAGTCGTGGTGATGGTTTTTGTACTAAAAGTAGTCGTAGTTGTGGGTGTAGTCGTTGGCGTTGACGTAGTCGTTGGCGTTGTGGGTGTAGTCGTTGGCGTTGACGTAGTCGTTGGTGTTGACTTAGTCGTTGGCGTTGACGTAGTTGTCGGTGTTGAAGTAGTTGTTGGCATTGAAGTAGTCGTTGGTGTTGACGTAGTTGTCGGCGTTGGTTTAGTCGTTGGTGTTGATGTAGTCGTTCGCGTTGTGGTAGAGACTGAACTCGTTGGTGTCGGTGCCGCAGAAGCTCTTCTTGTAGACGACTCGACGGGAGTTGTTTCCTGCTGGCTCTCTGTGGTTGTCGTGCTTACTGTTGTGGTTGTTGTAGTTGTTGTCGTGGTCGTAGTTGTACTTGTCGTAGTGCTTGGTGTTGTACTTGTAGTTGTAGTACTCGACGTTGTTGTAGTAGTCGTTGGCGTGGGCTTGCCTGTTCGAAAATGCATTATTGAGAGTTTTTATAACAAAATCTTAGACATGCCGTATATATATATATATATAGGTTTCATATCATTGATTATGTGCCTTGCGTTTTCTGAGTTACAGTTTATTTTTGCATACCTGATCAATTTTTTTAAAAGTCATATCAAGACAAGTGCCTACCGTACAAATCCTGTATACCGGCTATATCGTCTGCGTTGAGATGAGCGTTGGCCTGGCAACCGCGGTAACTAGGATACATAATGGCAGAGATTTGATCCGAGTGGTCCAAGCCCAAGGAGTGGCCAAACTCGTGCAGGGAGACCCAATGCAAATTATAACCAATTTCTGAAATATGGAGGTTTTTTCTGTCAGAATAAAAAAAAACGGGAGTCAAGTTTCGAATTTATATATATATATTGTTCTGTCTGATAGTAAGACAAAAAAGAAAAAAGAAAAACGTCGGGTCTGTTAATCAAGAGATTTACAAGTGAAGCCCATCATTAGAATATAGATCATTTTTAGAGTGCAGAATATTGAAAACAACAGCTACACAAATTCAGCACGCTTGGGTCGACCTACCTGAACAATCGGGACCAATCCACTTGAAGGCATCATTAAAATGTGCGTCTCCGCGAAACAAATACGGGTAAGCCTCGGGCTCGTGCCTGAGATCCTTAGAAACGGGAAAGAACGCATGCGCCAGGACGTAGTTCCTGAATGCCAACTCCCAGTTGTTTTTGCTGCTTGTCCAGTGGGCTAGCTCGGGTCCGAGATGGGACTGGTCGCGCCTGTCATTGCCAAACAGCACGTGAATATCAGCGACGGTGTCGCCCTCTACTTCCGTGATGCTCAATCCCGAGTGGTCGGTCCATTCCTGGGTAAAATTAATTTTTTTTTTTCAGTTTTTGTGGTTTTTATTGTTTGAATTGCGGTTTGTTGTGTTTTAATCCTCAATTATCTTTTCTCAGGATTTCTTCTTTAAAATACTTTCGGACTTGGCTCTTTTTTTCGTAAAATATGGTAATATTTTACTAAACTTTGGAAAAGATAACTTTACTGAGCTCATTATATAAAACCACCTTTTATTCTTACAAACATACATGTTTGAAGAGACCTAGCTCAGGGGAACAGTTATTGGCAAGCCATGAAAATAATGTACGATAGGTAAAATTGGCACATAAAAATAGTACTTACATAATATCATGTTACTAATTAGTTTTAAAATATTACAAAACTTTCTGAAACATTATATTAATAAAAAGACGATCTTGAAAATATCGTGCTGAGATAGTTAATCTTGCAGTGACATGACTGTGTTTGATGTTCCACCCACCTTGAGAGCACCTAACAAAATGTTCCGCACTTTCTGCAGTGGCATGTCGTTGGTCAGCTGCCCAAACTTCACGGTCAGTTTATCCTTGTACCACCCTCTTCCTGACAATACATTCAATCATCTTTGTTAGTTGACAACATAACTACCGGGTGTAAACGCACTAAGAGACTCTGGCTGGCACATTAAATAGGCCTTTGCTTTGTGGGATTGTTCAGCTAAATCACTTTTAACGTACAAATAACCTGAATTTTCGATATTTTTTATCATCCAGCGATCCTCATCAAATTGTGACGTCACAGGTCAAAGTTTAACAGCGTCCGCTAGTTCATGCCATTTTACCACTGATTCCGGTTTCTTGACGCTTGAACACCTTCACTTTTTTGATCTCAAGATTCGTTCATATTCTTCACTCACCCCGTAAGATGTAGCGTTTCACCCTCTTCTTTCCGCTGTCGTCTGCCGCAGCGCGCGGTTCAAAATCTGGTTTACCACATCTGGGAGTCGTCATGGCAACCACCGTGTTTGCATCAATAGTACCTAAATGAGGTAAAACAAAATGCAATTTTGAATAAGAATTAATATTTTAATTATAATATCATCGTTATAAGAATGAAGGATTTTGAACCTCAAAATTGTTGAAGTACAAGCACTATATCAAACCAAAATACTCTTAACCGCGTGATGGGGGCACCGCCTTCGTCTTTTCATCAAAAGCGCAATTGTAATAAATTAGTTGATAGAATTGTATATCGTGTTAAGCGTGGAATATAATTATTCTTCAAATGTTATTCAATTTCTGTTTGGTTAACAAAATAAGGCATAAAACGCTGCCGTTCTAAATCCTCAAGTACAAGTGCACTGAAAAAAACACACGTCATTCGTGAAGACCTAATTTACAAACACCTAATTTACAGTATGCACAACTGTACCTCTTAGTACTAGTCGTGCCTAGTGATGAGACGTCCCATACCTGTTGTGTTTAAATGATACATGGCCTGGAAGTGTTTGATAGCATCCTCATAATCTTGTTGGGCTTCTTTGTCCAAGGAGAACTCTTCAAAATCCTGTGTGAGATAACCAAATCGTTTCAAGAACTCCTGAAATTGAAAGAAAACACACATTTAGATGATCGTCACATTGTAATTAGTGCCATGTGTGTTATAGGTCTTCAGGCAAACGGAAATACAATGTACAACAGAAGCGACGAAGTTGAGTAGTTTGCTAAATAAACTCATTCTTTACCGGCCAATACATGAGTTAACTGCTTATGCTATTGACCCAAAAAAAAAAAATACTAATTTCTATTGCCATTTCATAGGCAGCCGAATACTTTTCCATTACAAAAACACAGCTTTTAATAAGTACCTACATTATACATTTTATTCCCAAAATGTGTTTTTTTAAATGCCTGTTGATTCATGCCACATCATCCTTGATGCATTTATATACTGTTATTTTCCAACTGTTTTGAAAAAAGTGTTAAATTAGTTAAGATGCACTAGAATATTAATTCTGGGTTCAGAGGTCTTGTGGGTCAAATGGAACCTCCTCTTCCATGTATAGGCCGCGTAAACATACTATTAGGATGCAGGGTTGGACATTTCATGGTCCTTAAAAATGTAGCATTCTCTTAAACAACTGTGAAGACCATTTAAAAAGACAAATTGATTCATCAAGACAGCTTGAATTTAACGAACAGCCATTCAATTCACGGTTGACCTTTTACCGCACCTTTGTAACAGCGCCCTTGTAAAGAAATATCACAATCGGTAGGCCCACTGATTGCGACATCCTTATTACGACACTGACCTTTCTTTGACCTCACGACTTATCGCGAGATTTCTTGACAAATAAGAGAGCAGAAAAAGTTCGTATTCAGTTTCCTTAATTCGGTAAAACGTTTTAATGTAAAATTAGGGAAGAAGGCAGAGTCCTTTGAAAATCATCATTTTATAGGCAATAAAATCCACTTATATAAATTGTATAGCTCATATGTAAATGTTCTAAGAATTATCAATATCAAGGATGAAATAACACTACCCATCACCTCTACACAATGATAACTAACGACATTACTAAGATAAAGGTGAATTTAACTGCCGGCTTAACTGATGCTTAACGATACTTTCAAAGGTTCTTGGATAGCTTTCATGAAGCAGGCACGGTCAACAACAAGGTCAGATAGTGATTATCTCAGGTAGGCTAATTGTTTCAGCGGATCTTATACGCCCCCCCCCCCCTCCAGAACGCCACATAGTGGCCCTCGGGAGACTCAGTACCAACATGTGATCAATTCATAGCATACTATTCATATCATACCGATATTACCAAAAATCTAGCTTATGATCGAATATCTATTACGTGCTCCTCATGTGACAAAGTGTTAACCTCTACCAGGACCACACATTTTTCACTAGATAGTCCTGTTCACAGGTATTTCTCTGGCAAATTCCGTACACCTTTACCGAGCTAAAAAGTTTGCAGATGATGGACGCCATCGCCTAGCTCGTCTCTAGTAGAAAGTAGTATAGGCATGTGCCTGCCGTGTCATGCCAAGGAGTTACAACAGTTGTAACAGTTCTGTTGTAACTCCTTGGTCATACGAGCTTATTTTAAATACCTACACAGCCTTGCATAGTATTCGACATTGCGATTACGATTACTGACTTTTTAAAGCATTGCATATTAGGCTCACAGGCTGACACACTCTAACTTCAACAAGTGGCAGAAAAAACTGCTGGGTCATTGCGTGGTCATTAAGTATAACGGGTGACCAGAGCGTGACACCGCAGGGGTCAAAATGTGGAATTCTTGCAGGTTTCCTCTGCTGCACGTGCACGCATAATTAATGATGTTATCTTTCATCATTTTGCACCCTTAAAAAATCAACACTTAAAAAATCAACGTTCAGGTTTTTACTGTTTATGCTGTTTAACGGTTAATTTCATAATGACACCTATTTTTTTCTTGGCTACATATTATGCATTTGTAACTTGAAGCCTGCGCACGCTGATTTTAATGAGGTGCATCCCTCAGCGGCCCAAATTATCTTAATGAAAGGGCGGTTAATTAAGGCCCCATCGGTCCACATAGATCGATCCAACTCGACACGACTTTTTTTCATATAACCGAGATCTCTTGTTGTTCTCTTTGTGGCATATTCGCCAGCTTTTCTGTATTCTGCTCGTCTGTATTCAACGCCAGGTGTGTCATTCAGTTAGGCTGACTGCGCTCAGCGAGATTCCCCACACAGTTGGATCAATCTACATAGACTGATATGCTGTCTATGGGAACGGGACCTAAGATGTTTATCGCACTAATGCATCGTTACCTTATATAAATGCAACCTGGTTCTGAGACTAATTGTACTTCGTGATTTACCGTGAGATTTATAATTGCGTGTAACTGTTGGTGGCCTCGCCTTTAAAGTTTCTGAGACGGATTTTGTATTATCTCCATTTTCTTTTTATTTCGAATGTGTCATGTCAATCAAAGCATTTATTTCAATCCCATACGAAATAGAAATTGTCTTTATGGTAAGTTTTTACACCGTTTTTGTAGGCTTTTAGGTAGAATGTTGGTCAGTATTACTTAATTCATTGTATAGTACGTAGTATTTTGTTTGTAACTTCAACCAGTTATCTCTGGTGTATTAAGTGCAATAAACTATGCAATTTATGTTTATTTAATGAATTTAACTTTTCCCAGTCTTTCTTTACCGTCTCGAACCACAAAATCAGTCATCAAAGCGTCATTCTAGAGAACTTCTTCGAAATGTTGAAATCTTTTCCTGCGGAACATCTCACCTTTGACTTCTACATGATGTACTTTAATGAACAACATTGTTATGAAGTTTGTTGCAAGTAAATATTATACACACCTCGTCAACCACATAGAAATTATGTAACTTGTTCAGTCCAAATTTCACGCTTATGAAAGTGTAAATTTTTTTCTGAGCACTTCGTTGGTAATGGCATCGCACAATGGCTTTTATTGTTTCAAAGTTTATTATCTTAACGGTTAAGGTGGCGCGTGCGCAATTATCGTAAATTAGATCGAGAGCGTTAAGCGACTTAATTGCAAGGTGGCATATCTCCTGATTAACGCGATTATGAATTCCTCATTTATTTTTCAGATATATCTAATTGTAATTGTACAGTAATTAAGATAAGATTACTCCGATAATTCACTCTCGCATACTTTAATAAGGAACTTTTCTCAATAGTGGAATGGCGTTTGTTCTCGATTTTAAACCAACCAAAACACTTCAGCTATCGTTGGGATCGGAAGAAAAACGCCAATTTTACCTTTTTGAAATTATAATGTGTTTTTCAGGACCGAGTGATAAAAAAGATTAGTCCTAAAGTCTTACAGCGGAAAAATTGAAAATCTAATTATAGGTATTCGTGATCATCTACAAGTACAAAAATGCGTGGTCGTGAAAATTCGGAAAGCATTTAAGGCTAACATTAACACAAAGTGGCCTTTAAATATTCCATGAAGACAAGATTATCGTGATTATTCATACGCGTGCCTCTGCCAAAATTAGTCACGAATTGTAATTTGCGTTAAAATGTGACATGGCGTCTGGACGAAAATCTGATCAAAACGTGTCTTAGATCGAAAACGGTGGCCACCAACGGGACCATAAATTATTCCAATGCTAATTTATCCTCTGGGAGGAAGTCTAAAGTATGATAATTTGCTAGTATATGTAGATCTCTATGTGCTGGGCTCAGTGATGAAACACTGGTTACATGTTGATGTCAAAAAGTAATGCACAGGACTTCAAAGGGGGTGGTGTCTTTTTCTTTAAAAAAAGTGGGCCCTTTTTTTTCATTGGTTGACCCAATTTTCGAAATGGTATAAAACTTGGGCCAATTTTGATTCAGAGCGAACCTTCGTCGGCCAAAATTAATTGTTACAATGAAGCTTCTTCTTTAAACTTCGGTAATTACACGTTCATGGGGACAGAGGATTGGTTATTGTCCAGTCACGTACTACAGGACAAAGGCACTTAGTGACCTCACTGTTGAGAAAAACCAGTGGTCAGGGCTGGAGGTCTGGGGGGTGGAGGGGGGGGGTGGAGGGGGTGACTCAAACCAAAACAAATGACCGTACACATTACAGATATCACAGACATCAGCATTAACAGCAATCTCCGTTGCAGTAACCACCTTGACCACTCACTGACCCCTTCTCCGGCCACAACTGGACACTAAACGCCATGGTGACAGTTTGGTGTCCATTAATACCAATATAAAACGCCACTGATTAATCTAAATTGATGCTGGCCAGATTTCTTATCTTTTTCACTCCAGATAACACAGTGGTTGGGGTGGCTCTCAGGATAAATATTTCCTTCTAAAGATTCAATTCATTTCAATTTGTTTCGACACAGGTACGTGTCACTTTGCACATTTGACAGGAGTAATCCTAAGGGCACAGCCTGTAAGCAACTTGTGTACTCTTCTGTCTGTTCTGAGCTCTCGAAAAATGGGGGACCGCGAGACCCTCCCCTCCACCAGAGCCACAGATTAATAACACGCACTTTTCTCCAACGAGTGTAGAAGTAGAGAATTGGAGAAACTTGTCATGAATTAAGCAGAGACATTCCTGTGAGTATGTAGTGAAAAATCAATCTGGTAGGGGACACAAGACTTTCTCAATATATTAATTAAAAAGTGACATTTGAAAATTTATGGAAAATATAAAAAAGACACCCTGGTTTTTGCTAATAATATGTCCTCTTGATTCGTGAGAAAAATAAAATAAAGGTATCTTTTCCCATCCGCATCTTATATGACACAATTTATGACAGTGAACGGCGACAATTACATAATCCTCAGGCACTTATATTCAGATGTGTCTCCATCTGAGTCTGTGTTATAATACGCACCATTGCATGTAACTGTCAAAATTTACTCGTAAGTGTTTTTATGCCATGTCGTTAATCATGTAGCCAAATATTTCAAAGGGTTTTTTATTTTGAAAAAGTGGATCTTTTCGCCCCCTTAGTTGACAGAAATGGTGAGATGGCATTGATGCTAGATTGGAATTTGATTCAAAGTACACTTTATCTGGCCAAAGGGCCAAAGGGCCACCCCCTCCCTCCCCCTTCCCCCGCCAGAGGCAAATATTCTTCAACTGAATGTCCATCGTGCATCATCCATTGTAATAATCCAGGTGTGGGTGTGTGTCACTGTATGTGTGTGTGTGTTTGTGTCGTTGTGTGTGTGTTTGCTTCTTATGTCATCCTCATAATCGGCATCTTGCGCTCTCGTAACATAAAAAGAGATCATCTTTAATGCTGTGGTCGTGTTGATGTATATTTACGCGCTCATGTGTGTGTGTGTGTGTGTGTGTGTGTGTGTGTACGTGTGTGTGTGTGTGTGAGAGAGAGAGAGAGAGAGAGAGAAAGAGAGAGAGAGACTGTATGTGTATATGTGTGTCTGTGAGAGAGAGAGTGAGAGAGAGACTGTGTGTGTGTGTGTGTGTGAGAGAGAGAGAGAGTGAGAGAGAGAGAGAGAGAGAGAGAGAGGGCATTTTTGCAAGTATAGTTCAGGAGACACACGACATATTACACACACACACACACACACACACACACACATATATATATATATATATATATATATATATATATATATATATATACCATCATTGATCTCTGCTCATACCAACTGACAGCGTATTTCAGACATAGACTAAAATTGCAAGAGTTGAAGTCCATGGATGAAAATTATCACCATACCATCGTTTTTCCGTGGTCTGTCTCCCGTCGAGTATTAACCACAAACAAATAAATTACTTCACGCCCGTGCTCGAAGGGGTCTTTAAAATTGCATCCCTATTATTACCATTTATTATTTGCTTTGATTTATTTGTCTGCCCATGGTTTTGATGCTCATGGTCTACAATGTAAAAATCACCGCCATCTTAGTCATCACACTACCGGTATTACTTTCTTATATGGGCTTTGCACCGGTGCCAACTTCACAAAATAATTCTCGAATCGGACAATTTCTCTTGAGATGAAAAAAATCAGTTTGCGTCAATTCGTACTGCGTTGTTATTAACATGAAACTGACGTCAAAACGTTTTTGTTTAAAAGTTGGGACAGGTTTTCCACCTCAAGCTGAATTGTGCAACAGAACCCTGTTGTACTGACCGCATGGACTCATTTATGCAACAGTGAACGCACGTTTGATTTTAAAACCGAGATATGGCGAGCGTCTGTGACACCTGTCTCCTGTATTTGCATGGCATTTCATCGGTAAGATGTTTGTATGGGTAGTGTTTCTTGTTATATTCCTTGATCTGCCGTTTAGTGATATCCTGTTTTGTGGAAGATCGTTATCAACGATTCATGTTACAAGATTGAATGTAAGAATCTAAAATAAATATTTTGAATAAAATATAACATACTGAAAGTTTGAGATATCAGACCTTTAAAAAAAATGGGACTTGATAAAAAGGTACATTAATTCACCTGCAGTAATAGCAATGATAACAATAATAACAACAATGCTGCATCTAAAGTAACGTCAACTCACCATGGCATATTTTTGTCTTTCTTCTTCGCTGGCAAGAAGCTTGGTCTTGATAGGATCCGGCGAGTACGGCGTTATTTTAGAATCCTCATCAAACTGGATGTTCTCATCTGCCTCCAAGAAAGCGCCATTTTCTGATCTTAAAGGAGCGCCAAGTATCTCCCCAGCTACTATTACCGTCAGTAAAGCAATAGCCCACCTGAGCCGCATCCCATGCACCATATTTGTAATTTTCTTTTATGTCCAGGAAATAACCTGATGTCCGAGCTTCTAGGACCGAGAAGCTGGTGGGAGCCTTATCGCGGAGTTCCTTAATAGCACCTTTAAAGTTACAGTTCACACCTGTCTAATTGATTATCTGTTGTTCTTTTCAAGTGCTTGCAACCTTAAAGCTATATTCTGTTGATGTGTATAAATGCCAAAGCATAATGTTCTGGCGCTTGATATGGTAAAACGCCCGATGAAGTCGCAATGCACGTTGTGCAAAGTCAGTCAATGATGAAGTGTCAAAACAATTATTTGAGAAAAAAGGAATGAGTCGAGAGTTCCAATGTCTTATAAAAGACCTCTCTCCGCACGCCCTAAAAATCTTAAGATATGCAAGTGAAACAATTGTGTAACTCCGGCAATGATAGCTCCTTGTATGTAGAATGTCTTGAGAGACAACTAGGATTTTTTTCATAAATTCAGCGACGACATCGACCAACATTCATCCTATATCATCGATATCCAGCCTCCGTCCTGGAGAATATCCGAAGAACGGTGATGTCCACCTTATATACTATATGTCCACTGTCCAGCGAATGGCCAAGGTCTTGGCAAAGTGTGGTAATCAATCGCTTCAGCGGTCAAAACCAATGGCCATGAAACCGCTATTACCGCGAATTAATTAGCCGACGGCCTCATTAATTGACCTAATGACCACGGCTTGGTGCTGAATCGTCAATCGTGAATCATCGAAGGGACGTGTCTTTGAACCGCAAACCCCCTGCTAAGGTGTATGTGACAAACCACTCGAGTGTCCACTTTTGTCCACTCGAACGGTCACTCGGGTCACTCACGTCACGCGCGCGTGAAGTATGCTCATAAACGCACCTGGGGGGAAGGAAGGAGGGGAAAGAAAAGGATCGGGGAGTGAAAGAGAGAGAAATCTCGTTTAGATATGTCATACGGCACAATAGACCACGTAGCTTGACATAATGCATTAAACAGGAAGGCGGTGGTACAAGTGGTCATTATATGACGATAGGGCACATCGCGGGTATGTCATTATTTCCCCGTGTAGACGCCACGACGACACTTGGTGCACTAAGTCACGTACACGAATTTCATCCACCGTGGATAAAGAAAACAAGATATAATTAATTAATTCAACATATGCATGAAGTGAACCTTAGTCATAAATACATGTACAAAGGCGTTTTGCCAGTACCTTTGCAAAAGTGTCTGTTGGTTAGGATCCACAATGCCGCCGATGCAATATTTACGGTATTTTTAACATAACTCAGATCTGTACTGCACTGTCTCCGTGCACAAACCCCGAGGCGATGTTAATTAAAACATGGCAAAAGTGACAGTCTTATCGGCTCTTGGGTGGATTTAGACGAAAGGAAAATTATCATGTCTCTGAAAAGAGTGAGAGATTGCTTAATATTGCGCTGCCTAGTCGCGTATTTGTGAGTGAGAATAGCTGTAGTGGTGAATATGAGAAAGTAGGCTAAGTAAAAAACAACTTTGGAAATTTTTCAGACAGACAGTAATCATTAATAAGTAAACGAACGCTATGAACATTCTCATGTCATTATCATAATCCACCAACCATAGGCATAGAATACACGGGCCTGATTAAAAATGACTTTTATAAAATATTTTTCTCGTATTCTTATACCAGTAATTTTATATCATTGTCGCGTATTATATCTTTCTCTGTAAAAAAAGTATTTAAGAGAAATAAACTGGAAAAAAATATATATATATACTTCATTTAGACAGATCGCAGGTTTAGGACTGTTAAGATAACAGGCCCAAAGCCTATATAGCGCCATAATTGTTTCACCCGGGTGTTTTCACCTTCGCACAGCGGGTTCTATATCGCAGTGGTCCAGCCATCTGTAGCAGTGTGTTGTAACACGGCCTGCCTTTTAGTCACGCTACATGAGATTTTTTTCTCGCTTTCGCGACTTCGCATTTTGCGGTTTGGGCGGAAGTTCTACTAGGAAATGCCTTCTTTTAAACAAGACAAATATGAATCAATGCAAATTAATTGGCCGTGTTTAGCGAGGTGGCTTTGTTCAAGGGCTCATTCCGAATGAAGTTATCGTTCTGCGTAGATCGATCCTACTCCGCTTCAAGTCTCGCTGAAAACTACAAATTTAACACGCGTGTGTGTATGTGTGTGTCTCAGAGGTGAATGATGAATGACAATAAAAATTTCCAAAGATTTGCATAGTTAAAACAGGCCCGTAGCCAGGGGGGTTCGGGGGGTTCGAAAGAACCCCCCTTTTTGCTGGAAAAAGGTCCACTCTGGGTAAAATTTGACCTAGGTACATGGGGATTATATGGTAAAAGGTCCACTTTTTCAGGAAAAGAACCCCTTCTTTGAAATTGCTGGCTACGGGCCTGTAAAATTAATAACAGAGAGTTTAATTGCAAGCTTGCACGCGCTAATTTTAAGGAGGTGCACCTCTCAGCCGCACAAATTATCTTAATGAAAGGACGGGTAATTAGGGAGATGTTTATCGTTCTGATTCATCGTGCGCTTGAATATATACAACCTAGAAATTGGACAAAATGCACTGTGGTTTATTTTATCTGTTGTGTTTTGGATTTTTGAAGTATTTGTGACCGTTTTTAGGTCATCTCCTTTCAGTGGCATTAGTTTCATCGTTATATCATGTCACAGGAAAGAAATGTGGGTAAATGAGGACTTTTTTTATGATTTTTAACGAACTTTCAGTAAAATTAACCTGCATAGTATTTTATAGCTACGGAAGTATCAAATTTATTTCTTATAGCAAACTAGGGAGTGTATGAACTTGCAGGCACCATCTCCGTTCCTATTATCAGATGATTGACAAGTGACAGCCATAACTAATTTTACAGAATTTTTGTAGCAAAAAAAAAATTACATTAAACATTAATCGTTTTCAAGGCATGCGTCAGTACGCATTTCACAGTATCATACCCCGGAACAAAGATTGAGATGAGATGCGTACCAGGCAAGAGCTGTGTCGCGTTTGATACTTCGAAGCGCTTACTGACGCACACCTTGAAAACGGATAGTGTGGTGAATGTACGGTGAATGTACGGTGAATTCAGGATCATTCGGTGCAGAGTCTGGTAGGTATGAACAGTATTTAGAACAGAGCACAAGATAGGAAAAGAGGGGCATGGAAATTTTGAGTAAAACATATTTGGCAAATAATTCTGCCGAGGAGATATCGATATTCTACCTAAAACGGTTAACAGACGCAACCCCAGTCCCTGACATGAACGGTTAAGTTCATGATGCACAGGAAGTCGTGTTTCACAACCCAACATGGAGCTCGGAGTTTGTTTTATACTAAGATTTATTTAGCCTTTACCCGTGATATAGAGTACAATGGGATCAGAGGCGGTTCACAACAGGCGTGTTTTACTTTTAGCGAGACCGTAAGAGGAGAGAATAAAAAGATAAAAAAAAAACAACATTCCAGTGTTTAATTACTGATGCGATTGCAGCGATGGAAATTTTGAATAAAACACATTTTTCAATTAGTTCTGCCGAGGAGATATCGTTATTCTACCGAACACGGTTAACAGGTGGTATGACGTGCTATTATACCGGAAAAGCTACTGAATCAAAACAAGTTGAATCGCATTCATTGATAGGCCTGCTCTGAACGTTCCTAGTTAGATGACTTCGGATGATTTTATTGTCATGTTGTTTCGCACTGAGATAACGTTTGGTTTCACCTTTGACGTTGCAGAGCACGATGAGGTCCACAGCTGTTCACAACTCGGCGGTTTTAGTATTGAGTAGTCTTTACTCTTTCGAATGTCCACTGGGGACTTGACCCGGGTACTGTATGAACATATGAACAGTCCTGAGTAGCAAGAGCCCAAGATAGGAGAGAAGGGGCATGAAAAGACCAAATGTGTGCCTGTTAAAAGGAGTAGAGGGCTCGCGTCTTTTGTAAAAAATCAAAAAATTTCTCTCTGTTAATCCCACCCAGAAAATAGCACATTTTGATGAAATGCAGAACATACGGAGTTACCTGTAGCTATAGCTCAATTTAAGTACAAGATCTGTGGCACCAATATAAGGACTTTTAACTGAAGAGAAAGGAAATATAATTGTCGACACAGATGTAAACTATATAAAGTATACCGTATTTTTATGCAAAAGATAATTTGCTAAGTCCCACGAGAGCCCTCATTCGTTCTCGTGACACCCCGATTCAGGGGCCAGGTCGTTGTCGTGATGGACTGACGTGCTTCATCCGGGACTCGAACCCGTGACTTTGCGTTACCAAGCTTGGTGACGCTTTGGATGCCTCATTTGCATTCTTGCACGCTACCGACTGCTCCGTGACAGACCCGCCCACCCTCCGTGCGTGCCAGTTTCCTCTTAAAGTAATCAATCGCAATTTTTAAAATTAATTCTGGCAACAAAAAATGACGTTAGATCTAATGTGATTCGAACCAGTGTGCGAGAGTCTGCCTGTATGCAAGTCAGCAGAGTTACCACGGAGCCACGACAGCTTCGTTGAAGCGAGGTGATCAGATGGAATCTATCAACCTTATCACGAAGAGCGCCAGATTGGATGTACGTGTGCACATCTGCTAGGCCTGCTCTGAACGTTCCCCTTTAGATGACTTCGGATGCTTTTATTGTCATTTTGTTTTGCACTGAAATAACGTTTGGCCTCACCTTTGACGTTGCAGAGCACGATGAGGTCCACAGCTGTTCACACCTCGGCGGTTTTAGTCGCATATGCGTAGCAAAATATTTCTCAATGGCCAACTCCTTTAGTTGGTTTGGGGGTGGGGGTAAGGTTATCCATTTGAAATTGTTTGATTGCATTTGTTTATCAAGGGCCAATAATAACTGTCTGGGTACTTGTCTGAGGGCATTGTTGGCGAGAACATACTGCCAAAACAGTATGATAAATGTCAAAATGTTTTGAAACTGATATGAAAGATTGAAACGATTTGAGAGAAAAGTGGTTACAAAACATACGGAGTAGAAAAAAATGTGCCAGACAAAATATGTGTAGAAATTATGTCTACAATTGATGCAGCACTTATCTGCAGCGTTGCTGCTTTTCTAGTTCATGCGGAGAATAAGAGAAACGTGATTTTAGAGGTATAAAAAATGAAACAAGATTGCATTACAAAAGAGCTAACCATGATGTTAAAATATTTCTTAATGATGTAATTGAGTGTATGAAGCCCTATTGTTTGTCTCATTACATATTAATTGTTGGCTTATGTTTCTATTATACCATTGTACCATGTTCTTATTTTGTATTACTAGCAGTGATCAGATGTTTGTTACACTTGTATATTAATTTTGTTTTTGTCATACTACATGTGTTGCTACATGTGGTTATCTTAATACAAATTATAAAATGTAATATGAGCCTGTTGCCTAAAATTACTAGAATAAATCATTATTATTATTATTATTATTATTATTATTATTATTATTATTATATGTGTGAGCTGAGCATAAAACAAACAGGACAACTTACCATCTGACCATTCTGACCTCCAGAAGAATAGTTTCTCATTACATGAACAACCACCAACAGCAACCAAAATACACGTAGAAAAAACATTTTACTCAGACTGAACAGGCCAATCATATTTAGAACGGCTGTCTATGTGTTCCGTGCCGTTTTGAATAAGGAATTGGTTTAAATAGGCTGTAACTCGTGGAGGGAGCAAAGGTATACTACATCCAATCAGCTTTGTGCACGTGATGGAAGGGAGCCGTTTAAGAAAACTATGTCAGCTTAAACACGTAAAGATAAATGTAAATGATTTATTTCTTTATAGATGAAAACACACCCTTTCAGTTGTGTAACTACTTTTTTCTTCAAATTTTAATAATATAACACATTTATAAGTACATATATTTACTACGACGCAAATTTTCTTACTAATACAGGTTTTCTCATGCTCTTTTCCCTCGATCAGTACCAATCGTGAGTACTTTCGAAGCCATACCACCTGTGCAATTGTATAAACCTCCTTTGATAACATGCACTTGGTCAA